CGTTATAGTACACAATAATTCCCAAATAACACATCAACTAAGCCTTTATTGATTGTGTTTCAAGCGAACAACAAATTGTCTTAAAAGTTTTCCGAGATGGCAATTTGTTTTTTAAATTTGTAAAGTAAAATCTTCTCTCATTTCTAGAGCTGTGAAAACACAATTCGGGCTTTTAAATAAAACGCATTATCATTACAATTTGTATATTGCTTGTTTCAATGCTTTAAAGATCTCCTAGCATTAAGGGAGACTTTTTACTTACATTTTCAATTTCTAAGCTATATTTAATTCGAAAGAGCTTCTTGTTTTTGAATTTGCATAATTTATGGAAGTACTTGAAAGGTTTCTATGAAATCATATCGATCTATTTCCATAACACTCAGTACCCGTTGTATGGCTCTCACATATTGGTCTAAACAGCCTTTTCAAATGAAAGCAAAACCCGGAAATCAAGTGTTCAGCCAATTTTCCCACACATAATTAATTTCGAAAAAGGGGCAAAAATTAGACATAAAACACACAATAAAGAGCAAAAAAACAAAAAAAAAAAAATAAAAAATCACGAACCAACAAAAAATGGAGCTTAATGCAAATGAGCGCAAATGCGGAATGAATGCAATGCACACGGCCAGCAACAACAACAACAGCAACAACCACAAAAACAACTACAATAAAAGTGTAGCCAACAATCGAAAGTGTTACACTTTCTGCACTTCAGCAAAAGCCACAGACTACTACGAGTACAACAACAACAACAATAACAACAAGCTATGAACGAGCACAACATAAATACAAGCAAGCCATAAAAGAGTACAAACGACGATGTAATACAACAAGCGACGAGTAACAGCAACAACAACAAGTACAGACACAACCGTTGCGCCATCGCAAGTGGCGACGCATGCGCCGGCAGAGCAGCAAAAGCTTGAAGACGCAGCAACAGCAGCAGACAGGTGAAAGGGGCGAGTGGAGTGCTCGACTGCGAGCGAGAGTGGGGGACAGACACTGAGAGTAGAGGCGCACTTCAATCTCTCACTCTCTCTCTCTCTCTGTCAGGTCTTGTACGTGTTTGCGTCGCAATGCAAAAGTAAATCGCGCCGCGATTGCTTGGCATGCGCATTGCATAATTTCTCTCCCCCCCCCCCCCTCTTCCACTGCTCCTCGTTCCCTATTCCCTCATGTAATTTGCAACGCAGTACTTGGCTGGCGTGGCCGGGCCGGGCCTGGTCTGGCCTGGTCTGCTTCTACTTATCGAAACGTGAAGGAGCTCTAATGCCCAATCGACAATCAAAAAGCAGCTTAACTTGGCTGTTCTCCATTTTCGAACGAGTAACGGTAATTGCTGAGTATGTCAATGTCGCGGTCGTGCGTTTTAGTTGTTCTTTTTCTTTTTCTTTGCCTCTACATTTACCTTTTCCTCCACTGCTGTAGAATATTATGTCGCACACCCGTCGGATCGGGCGGCAGTATTGGGGGGGTCAGTTAAACTGGTTTGAATTTCTATCTGTCTGGCGCTTATATTTTTGGTTTTCCATAAGCTGACTGGCTTGAATGAGTCGTTGATTGTTGTTATTGTTGTAGTTGCTGTGATTGTTGGTGTTGGTAGTTTTAGGTAGCACTCTCACTTTCATTTGTAATGCGTCTCAACTGTGATTGTATCGATTTCTGGACCTACACATAGTTGTGCTTAGAAGAGGGTTGAGAAAAACCTAAAAGAGTGCTCTCCCAGTTTCAGATTTTTGGGACAACTCAAATCAAACTTCTCATATTGATTGCTTGGAATTAATTTGTGGTATATTTCTTATAGACTTTATATATTTCAATTATAATTTGTTATTTATAATGAAATTCTTCGCTTTATGAAGACACATCGGTAGGAAGATTGAGAGTTAGGTAAAAAAATGTCGAAATAGAAAGATGATTTCAGGCCGTAGTTTTGTAGTATGGAAATTAAATTTGTATGTAAAAAGAAGATTAGATTTAACTAAAACATAATACTTTAAGAAACCAAACTTGATATTCTTTTAGTAACTGTACTTATATAAATTTATATTGTTGACTGAAAAAACCTATTATTTATTTAAGAGCTTTTAACGACAGTAGAGTGTCTTATGTCCATGCTTAACATTTTAAGCTAAGTTTAAAATTTTAGTTGAGCATATAATTTATTTAAACATTAACTCTATTTTGATACTTGTTATTTTTAATAATTTGAAAGCACCTTTCCCTGTGAAAACAAAAGCATTCTGAATTACGAAATGGATTTTTTTTGTTTCTAGAAATATCTCTTTGGATCGACAATGGTTTGGTCATCTTATGAAATATTCAATAGAATATTTAATATTTATTTTAATAACAGAACCCAGAAAGTTGTCGCATTAATTTTATGCAAATCAGTTAAATGCGATTTAAGGCACTGATAAATATTAATTGCATACTATATCTGATTAAGTATATACTGCCAGGCAAAAAAAGACTCACAAAAGCTTTGATAAAATTAAAAACTATAATTTTGCTAACACTGCCATAATTTAGAAATGTTTCCGAGTTTTTTGCAAATGGCTGCACAAATGATTATTAGTCAGTGATGGCACATATTTGGAACATATATCCAATTTATCTGCACTGACCACTGACCACCACAACTAAAAGAAAACAGAGGCGGACAAAACTACCTGTTGCCTCATGCTAAAAGAAAAAAGTGAAAGTTTAATTCCACATTAAAAAAATATACAAAAAAAAACCCAAAGCCATGGTCCCCTAAAAATGTAGCCAGCGTGCCATTAACACAACAAAAGTCCATCTGCAGACTTAAAATTTACAGAAATAATAATACAAGCAACAACAACAACAACAACAATAGCAATAACAACAAAAGCCCAGCGACTAAGCAAACAAAAAATAAATTAATTATAATATGACCAAAAATTTTTAAAACACGAAACACACTTTTTATGACTCTGTGTAGTCAGCAGAAAAGAGAGCAAAAGGGAGAGGGGAGGCCGAGTCTTTGGGTTTTAATTTCACCAGAGAAATAAAAAATGTGTTGTCGTAGGCCCACGATGTGTGCTTATTTGGAAATTATGGAATTATAGCCCTCTAAACTGAAGTCTACACTGAACTAAAGAAAGTATACTAAGTAGTGTGTAGAGGGGTGATGAGAAGCATATTCAAATCTTTCTTCAGATTGACATTACACTGGGAATATGGTTCTTCATATACAACAGAAGTACCATAATTCAATTTGGGAACTACAATCATTAGCCGATTTTATACTATAGTTATGCTTAACAGATTGCATTAAGCAATAGAAATTATTATGCTGATAAGAATGAGGAAATGATAATCTCGATTGCAATATATTGAAGACTAATAGAAGATTATTAATAGCAAGATGATGTCTTTACTGAGGGCTAAGAAAGGTAATATATCGATAATAGAGTATAGTATATGACCAAATAATCAAAAAATGTGAGCAGTAGTGAATCATCTTTATTTAATTTTCGATTAAATTTTTTTTTTTGGCTTCTAGGCAGCGATATAGTTATGCGTTTAAGTTTCTTTTTTGGAGATCTTTAAATTACAACTTCCTTTCGTATTCGACTTTTCAGCGTTTATCGATATCTTTAATTGAAATCGTAGCCTAATTAATTTAATTTTTTGCTTATAAATGTCAATACAACTGACTTATCGCTGAAAACTAATTGATTTTTTCTTAAATTTGTCGAAGTTTCTTCATTAGAGGGTATCCGATTAATATACCAGTGATATGTAATCGTTTAATATGTAATATATAATAATATTAAGCGCCACAATTCTAGTTTCCATTGGGATATCTGATATATAAATTGAAATAAATTCATTAAAATTTTCAATCTTCAAAAAGATATCGCTTAAGTTATTTTTGTGGCTAAAAAAATATCTAACTATGCGTTAAAATGTCTGCGCTTTAAGGTTTCAGTTTTATACTATATCTCTGAGGCATCCTTTAGCACAATTCATTTCTAGAATCGTAGTATAGATATCTACAATTAAAATTAATGCGCAAGTAATGCTCTTCAACCGAAGTGCCAGCCATTCAAACAGCTCTATAATTAATGGAAAATATGTAATTTTGGGAGAGCAATGTACTGAAAGGTCGAGCATTAAAGGTATTGAACAAATTAGTCTCTGCCTAGATCTGTTGAGCTACTGTTGACCTATTTTTGCACTTCTAATGACAGCGAGATATAAAAAAGACATGTGCGAAGAAAGAAGCGCCATAAAAAGAAGCGGAAGACTTACCAAAATTATGCAAATTATTTTTAATTATAAACGAGAAATTCGCTTTTATTTGTACTCTGAGTGTGTGTGTGTGTGTTTTTTTTTTTTTGTCTTGGGTCTAAAGCCAATGCGCAAAAGCAGACGAGAGAAGTGCGTTAATGAGCGGCGCATCGTTTCGAAGATGATGGCCCAAAAAAAGTTGACCCAGTTATAATGGCAAGAGAAAACGGATTGGCTGGCTGGCTGGCTGGCCGCGAAGCCTGTCTTGTCATTGTTGTTATTGTAGTTGTTGTTGTCGTTGTATCTAAAAATAAACCCTGCTGCTCCACATGCGGCGGATTCCTGCTTGTTATCAGTCGGCAGTGAAAGTGAACGAAAATAAAAGTAAAAGTATATAAGTTTTAAGTTTTTGGCTTTTGGTTTTGTGGCTCATATCGGGTTGCTCATAAATATTTTTTGCCCGCCGCTGATCCTCATTTATGTCATTGGGCATTTTGCTTCGTGCTTGTATCGTTCCATCCGAATATATATCTGTATTTGTATCTGCATCAACATTTGTATCTTTTATCTGCATTCCATATCTGTGCGCCGCTCATTGTCTCTGTTTTGTTTGCGTTTGCGTTTCGTTTACATTTACGTTTACGTTCATTTGAGTTAAGTTTTCAAAAGCGAAACAATCAGTATTGTAAATCTTTTCCTCTATCTTTCTTTCTTTTTCTTTCTCTTCTGTTTTACAGGCAGGAAATCTCCATTTTTGGGTTTCATTTGCAAAGCAAACGGTAAATTTATGGTTTTTTTTTGTTTGTTTTGTTTCGTTTTGTTTTGTGTGTCTTTTTTGTAGTTTTATTTTATTTCTTTACAGCCTTTTTGTTATTTTTTTTCCACAAAAAAATATTGCTTCGCTTAAAAGTTTTACTAATGTAGGTGAACCCTTTTGGCTTTTGTGGCAATTTTGTTTAATGTCTGTGCGAAAGTTTATAATGTGTCGTCTTTACTACTGATTGATTGATTTTTATGGCTGCTTTGATTTTTATACAGCAAGTGGCCATAAATGTGCTCAACATTCATAAAAAAAATGCATCTGCTAATGAGCCGTTCTTAGAAGGAGCCGCAGAGTTTATAGAATGTGAATCAAAATATAATTTTACGATCCGTCAATTGAAATATAAAAACAAAACATCATTGAGTCACTTGATGACAAATAACTTGTTTGGAAAATATAATTTTTATTAAACGTAAATTTAATTATAAAATGTTTGCAGAGTCTCCTCTTAAATTATATATTGTTGCATAAAATTCTATTTTTTGAAATAAAATAATATATAACGCTTTTAGAAACATTAAGTATATAATATTTTTCTAAAATTTAAACTACAAATGGAAGAAGTTTTACATATTTTACTAATATTTTACATATTAGTTTTATATATTTCCTGAGTCAATAATTAAAGAAAATTAAACTAAATTGAAATATTAAGCAACTTGGAGGCGATTTTTGTAGTATGTTTAGAAAAAAAGAATTGTATTTTTTTAATATAACATTTTATTAATCATCATTAACCTTTTTAAATATAATTTTTATACCCTGTACCCAAAGGGTACAAGGGTATATTAGTTTTGTGCGAGTGCACATGGAACACACAGAAGGAGGCTTGGTAGACCCCACAAAGTATATATATTCTTGATCAGCATGACAAGCCGAGTCGATATAGCCATGTCCGTCTGTCCGTCTGACCGTCTGTCCGTCTGTCCGTCTGTCTGTCCGTCTGTCTGTCCGTCTGTCTGTCTGTATGAACGCAAGGATCTCCGAAAGTATAAGAGCTAGAATAACCAAACTTGGTATACAGATTCTCCTGAGACCGAGAAAGGACAAGTTTGTTCATTTTTTCTGATCCAACCCCCCACTCCCCCCCTATTAACGATTTTCTATAACTCCCATAATTCTTGGAATTTTAAACTTAAATTTGGTAGTCACATTAGGTTAGTAATTATATATCCGTATACCAAGTTTCATTATGATAGAATGATCAAAAAGAAAGTTATAGCCATATAACCAGGCCCAATGCACACATACATACATACATATGTACAAGTACACAAACACGCATAAGGCACGATTCTGATGTAAATGTAAATGTATGTATGCATGCATGGAATATTTTATATTTAATTAGTTAATATTTAGTTAATTAATTAAATTAATTTAGTTAATTAATTAAATTAAATTAATTAATTAATTAAATTACTTTTTTGTGGGGTGGTACAGGGTATTTAAGAGTTGAGCCTGCTCGACTTTAGCATTCCTTTCTTGTTTTGCATTGTTATGTTCAAGTTCTTTCTATGAAATAATATTTAGCTTTAAAAAAGGTTGCAACAATGTATGAATTAAGAAAATTTTAATATAATGTTATTATATTTGTTCTTTAAAGTAAACGTGTGATTTTTTAAAATTTAATCACTTGAAGTATTGTTTACCCAATACATTTCATATTTTTGTTTTTTTATTTTAACAAATTAAATCTAGTACAAATTAAGTCTAGTGTCTAATACAGGGTGCGCCATCTTTTATGTCGGTAGGTAGATATTGAATAACTTTGTGAACCGATTGACTTGAGTAGACCAGTGTTGAAAACCTCAGTTCAAGAAATTGTACAGAACCAAATTAAATAAAAATATCTCATACTTGAAAATCGGTTGTTTATTTTCAAGGATATTCAATGTTTGCATACCGACATAAAAGATGCGCACCCTGTACTAAACTTAATATTAAATTAACGAGTGCTAGCTACTCGGGCCTTCGACTCAAATTTGTACAATTTTGAAAAAAAATATATAAATCTGTAAATAATGAATTGTCATGAAAATAGGCTCATTTATTGAATTCATTTATTGAAGTCAATAATAATAATAATCTTGAAAAACAATTTCAAATAAAAAAAGAGTTGAAAGACAATTTAAAAAAAGGCTTTAAAAATTAAAAAAATATAAAAACAAAAATTGAAAACTATCAGCCAGCCTAAAAAATTACTAGACAAAATTTAATTATTGACAAAAAAAAAACCAAACATGCTTTGCTCGCTTCAAATTCCTCGAAACATTATTATTCAATTTATTTAGCATAGATTAAAGTTTTCTCGCATGCCACATGCAACTTTCCACTGCCTAATAACCAAAAGCTGTTCATATCAGTGACAACCATCCAGCCAGCATCAACAGCAACTTTTTGGTCACTGCTCACCATATACGAGCAACCAAAGGTGCCGCTCCAAGCACGAAAATTCCCAAACCATAAATCCTCAGTCAATATGCTTAAAGCCAAAAACCAACAACGACTGCCTAATTAAAAAAGCCAAATTGAAAAAAAAAAAAAAAAACAGAGTTACTCATACGCCAAGTGCGCCATTGCATGCAGATTTCAAGTCCTAATTTTCACTATTACTTCATAGCACACTTGCAGATACACACACACACTTTTGCACATTTCACTTACGCTTCGCTGCCGACAGCAACAGCAGCATAAAAAGGAAAGATATTACTTCACTGCAGACCAGAAATGTGTGCACCGCATAGGTCTGTGTATGTGTGTGCAAAAAAAACCGCAGCATGGCATAAAATTTCGCAATAGTTGGTAATGCGCCTAAGAAAGAAGCACAACAACAACAACAACAACAACAACAGCAATAACAACAACAAGAAAGCGCAAATGAAAGTGAGAGTGAATAAGAAAGCGGAAACTAATGCGACCAACAAGCAAAGGCAACAACAACAACAATTTTATGCGCAGACCGAACTGGTTTGGCGCCTCAGCGGCAAACTCGTTTGATTTTGTTTTTATTTTTCTCTTCTTTTTTCTTAATTCGTGAAATGCAGATAATAGGAAGCGACAGCGGAGAGCGGCATAGAAAGGCCATGCTTAGCTGCGTCTGCGCAGCGTCAGCGCAACGGGAGCTTTTGCTTTTGCGCTCAATGCACGCTTGCTTATGCGCTCTTTCGCTCTCTTCCTCTCTGCCCCTCTCTCGCTCACTCAGCCGACTCGTTCAATTCGACTCGTTCGAGTGAGTTTTGCGCTTCGCTGGGAGCCGCTGATAAAAATCAGTCGAAAGCTGAAATTTCACTTTCGCTTTTTGTTGCAGGCGGCACGACGAAGTCTTTGCTTCCTCTTTTCAGTTTTTATGTTTTTTTTTACTGTGTCTGTGTCTCTTTGTTTTTGTTGACTTCATTTTTTATTATTTTTTTTTTCTATTTTTTTTTGCATATTGGCGGCCTCTGCTGGCATTTTATTTGCTTTGGGGCTAAAGTTTGCTTTGTCTATGTATTTGACTGCTGGTTTGCCTGCCCGTTTGTTTGCCTGCCTGTTTCTCAGTTTGTCTGTCTGTTTGTCTGTTTGTTTGTTTGCCTGTTTGTTTGCTTGTGCGTTTGTTTCCTGCACACGGAAATTGTTGCCAGCCAAGAAAGTGACAAGTTAGCCAAAGGCTGCATACACCTTAACCCTTGCCGTATCGCTTGAGATACCTGGGAGCAGCTTTTCTTTTCTTAAAATAGAAAACTTTTATTATTCAGCAAGCGAAAGGAAGTTATTCATGAGATCTTCATTTCAATATTATGTCAACATCTGAATTTTTAAATCATAATATCAATTTTAAAAAAAGCTCTCAGTTTAAAGTTTAGCTTGAATGGATAATTTTTGAATGCATCAGAAATAATTACATTTTAGTGCTGAACAGAGACACTTTGGCGTGAAGAGTGTATACATTTGTGGCTATGTATATTTTTTAACTGCATTCATCTCTTATTGGTTATAAAGCATCCCTAGTGGTTGTTGGATTGCTGATAAAGGACTGCAATACACAACTTCCTAAGATTAAAGAAGAATAAATCCCGAAAAAAAAAAATAACTTTTCTTGATTCAAGTACTCTATGGGTTGCCCTGCGTCTGACTCACTATTAGTCACCCATTATCAGCCATAGACTTTTAATTCTCCTCTTTCCGGATATTGAATAAAAAATTAATGTTCTTTCTTGGTTGTTTACGACTTCCTAAAGTTGGAAAAAGTACAAGGAGTGCTTTCTCTGATTAGAACACCCTATGGTTTCCAACGCTTAAAGCCCTAAAATGCTCAACGTCTGACCCACTTATGAGTGTGTTAGCGTTGCACTTTATATGGCGCCACTATCAGAAATTGTGAAGAAGAATATGGTTTACGAGTGCAACATTTTACAGCTGAAAATAAATTCTAATAAAAAGTATATGCCGGTTCTTATCAGTAGGCGACGAAGCCGCCGCCTGCAATGATTCAAAAACACTTGATAAGTACTTTCTTGGGCGCCAATATGCGCCACAAGTTGTTCTTTTTCTTTTGGTTTGTGTTCTTTTTTTGCCTGACATGACTAATGTTGACGTGATCTCTAATTTCGCAATGTGTATTTTACAATGATTGTTGTTTTTTGTTTTGCAGGCAAATCCACATCGAATAGCAAAGAAATCATCTGTCCAGATGATAAATACAAAGAGGAGGGCGACATTTGGAATGTTGAGGCGCAAACAGCGTTCCTGGGTCCCAACTTGTGGGACAAAACATTGCCCTATGATGCTGACCTCAAGGTAACACAAGTTAGTATCATTTCATCGCTCCGTAGTGGCTGCGTCTCTCTTAATATTCGCTCTAAAAATTACATTGCACCCACAAGAAACACATCCACACACACAGACATGCATACATGAAGACATGAATGTATATATAAATGTTTATAAACAAATGACAGCTGTTCCATCCGATTAACATCTGAACAATCGCTTGATTAGTGCGAGAATTGTATTCTCATCATCTCGTTAATAAGTTTCTAAAGTTGTTTAAGTTTGTGCGTGTGGTTGCTTTGGCTAACAAAATCAACAAAACGTTAACAAAATGGCGGCCAAAATGGGATTCCACAAGTGGTGTTATCATAAAAGCTAAGTAAGAACTTTTCTGCTCTTTTGAGTTTATATAAAAGATGTGTAGATGTGATCCATTGGATGAAATTAATTTGGACTCTAAGCTATACTACTCATAAGCAGGACTGGAAAGTTACAGCAGAATATTTAACTTAAAAGATATTTAGTGTGGAATATCTAACAATTTTGACTGATTTCTGTTGAAAACAAGCCCAAGAATAAAGTAATCTAGAAAGTGATGAGCAGATATGAGCACCGCTAGAGGTCAACTAACCGATGTAAACTTGGTTAATAGAAATGCGAAAAGTATCCCATCAGATTACAGACATTTATATAGTATTGTTCTAAGTGGAATAAAAATATAATCTATCAAAAGTAGGCACTCCAGGAGCGACAAAGTGATTACAATTTAATATGGAATGCGGACCAATTGAAACAACATTTTTTAAAAAGATTTGATAACAGAAATTATTAGTAAGCGAAATGGGTTTTATAAAATAAAAGGGAATGAGAGATAGCAATAATTTAAGCTTAAACAAACTATTCGGATATTAAGTTAATAAAAATAGTAACAGAACTTAACCCACAATTGAAATACATAAAAAGCAGATCTAGAAACCACTTCGGGGTCATCAAAAAAAGGCCCCAAAACAACTCGATTGGAAGTGACTTTAAATCGAGAACGTAAATAATAGTATTGAAAACTAGCTGATGTAGACATGGAAATGGAAAAGCGAATTGAAGCTACAAGGGGCAGCTTTTTTCAATTTGAAGAGTGGAAGTTAGTTGAGTTATATGTGAATTCAAAGATTAGAATGATCTCGCATTTAAAAAAGTGAGCCGTAAGCCGTATTATATAGCTAAAAATAAAAAAATATGAATATATATTATTGAGGAATGTCAAAAAGGATCAATTTAGCAGATAGGTGCAATCAAAAAGTGATCAACATACAGGCCAGAAACCATCGAAGTCAACAAAAAAGTAGTCTACTCTCAATATCGAAGAGGTGAACACTTATAGATTTTTTCATATCCCGAACTCAGCATTTTGGCCCTCATTTTAGTTGTATTTTGTTTTTTTTTTTAACATGCGAGCATTGTAATTTTTATGAATTGCCGATGAAGAAATGATAAGGCAATTACTTAACCATGTGCTTTTAATCAATCCCCCACAGTATGCCGACTTAGATGAATTTTTGTCGGAGAACAACATACCTGATGGCCTGCCTGGCCCCCATTTGGGCCATTCGGGCGGTCTGGGCCATCGTTCGGATTCGCTGGGACACGCAGCCGGTCTGTCGCTTGGTCTCGGGCATATAACAACAAAACGTGAACGCTCGCCATCGCCATCGGATTGCATCAGTCCCGATACGCTTAATCCGCCATCGCCGGCCGAGTCAAGTGAGTACGAGAGTGGAGAAATGTGGCGGCATCTGAAGAAACGAGAGAGAGAAAAAAGAGAGACCCTTATTCTTACCCATTTGCGTTCTATTCCTAAACCTTAACTTCAACATTAACTTTAACTTTAACTTCCACTATGATTTATTTGATTTCAAATTCAATTTTTAAACACAAATGGAATGGACATTGCACTCTGTGCGCTCAAACCTATTTAATTAATTTCCACCTATATTCCCCGCTCTCCGATTTGTATATTTGTATAAATGTAAATATAAACTTTAAGTCTATACGAGTACAAGTATAGTTCATGCGGCGCGTCGAAATGTTTTTGCTCATGTCTTATCAAATGCTAAATGTTAAAGGCAGCGCCGTCAATGATTACATTCCAATTTGTGTGCTCTAGTTTATTTTACTTTTATTTTCATTTTCGTTTTGATTTTTGATTGATTTCTTTTTTTTTATTAAGTAAAGTTCATTTTGCCCGATTTATGATTTAATGTAGCACGAACAGTCTGTGAAACATTGTTAACATTTAGTATTTGATATTCCAGCATTTTCATTTGCATCGTCGGGGCGTGACTTCGATCCGCGCACCAGAGCATTCTCCGATGAAGAGCTCAAACCGCAGCCGATGATTAAAAAGTCACGCAAACAATTTGTTCCAGATGAGCTCAAGGACGATAAGTACTGGGCCCGTCGACGAAAGAACAACATTGCGGCGAAACGATCGCGGGACGCCCGTCGCCAAAAGGAGAATCAAATTGCGATGCGTGCACGCTATTTGGAGAAGGAAGTGAGTAGAAACGCGGGCACAATCGATAACGATTGTTAACGAATACATGCCTGTCCAAAAAAAAAAAAAACCCTAACCAATTTATTATGCTTTGCAACGAGTACTGGCAAAGTGTTACCATTTAAAATTCCTATAGCTTTGCAGTTCTTTTATAAATCGATAACGATTATTAATGCAACTAAAACCGCCAAGTGTTGCCATTTAAAGTTAAAATACAGAACTGGGTTCTTATATGCTTAGAAAATAAGGCTCATAGTTGAAGCTGTGGGACTTAAGGAAATAAAATTAAGGAAATAAAGGAAATAAGGCTATTGAGAAAATTGTAAAGCAAGCCAGCAGTAAATCAAGCTCTCCTTTCAAATCTGATACTTACAATAACAAGGCCTGCATTTGAAATTATTTATTTAAAACAAAATCAACTCCTTGTAATTAGTTACAAATCTCTTTTAAGGAAAATATACGTTATATATCGCACTACTTGTATATATATATGTTAATATAAGTTTTCAATGGCGCGTCAATTTGATACACGCCCCACGATATTCTCCTCGGAGGGGCGCCTCTACCAGGTGGAATACGCCATCGAGACCGTTTCGTACGCCAACCCCTGTTTAGGCATCAAGACCGAGGAGGGCATTGTGTTAGTTGCCGAACACAACAGTTCGAATCACTGCGATCGAATGGAGAAGATATACCAACTCAATGAGAATACACTGTGTGGCACGGCGGGGATAGCGAGCGATGTTCAGGTCCTGGTAGGCGAGGCGCGGGCCATCGGGCAGCGCTTCCAATTTTGCTACGGAGCCATTATGCCAACCGAACAGCTCACCTCCCATCTGTGCGACATCATGCAGGCGCACACCCAGACTGGTGGAAAGCGGCCCTTTGGCGTGTACATGCTATTCGCGGGCTGGGACAAGGAGCTCGGCTATCAGCTGCTGCAATCCGATCCCAGTGGCAACTACACCCTCTGGAGGGCCGTTTGCATTGGCAAAAACTTCCTTGCTGCCACACACTTGTTGGAGCAGGAACTGGCAAATAAGACAGGTTCTATCAGTCTCGAGGACGCCAAACAGCTGGCCCTAAGGGCATTGAGCAGGACTTCTCTGGCCACCGAGCTATTGCCAGATATGGTCGAAGTGGCAACCCTACAGCGTTTGCAGGATAAAACGCTTTTCACACGACTCGAGCCGTCCGAGGTGCAGGCGCTCTTTAACAAGCAGAAGGCTAAACCCACAGCTTAACAGGCGCACTCCTCTTCAGGGCTTTAAGCCACGCACTTTTCTTAGATGTTGTGGTTTTCTTTGCTGTATTGTTGTTGTTGCTGTTGTTGTTGTTGTGGTATCTACACAGAATATTCATATTTCGGTTCAATACACAAAGAACACAAATCCCTCATTTGGTTTTTTTCAATACCTCTGTTAAATTATTATTAAATACTTTTGAAGAATCGCTCCGGCTGAGAGTTTGTTAATTTATTTAAATATATGTATTCTTTTTTCGTCTTCCTTTATAAATATTGTCGTTATTTTCTTAAATGAAGATCCAGTTTTTGCGAAATTTGTTAATTTATTTAAATATTTGTCGCTCAATATTTTATATAAGTATAAAAGAGAGATAGAATACTTCTGATTAGTGCAATATCTGTCATTCTTAAATTTTAAACTATCTACCGCATTTTTTTGAAGTGTTAAAAAGACTAAAACATTTTCTTATTTTTAAAATTGGTCAGAAATAAGTTTTTATTTTATTTAAATTTGTTTTCTTTGCTCATCAGAATATTAGAAATCATTGTTATATGCAGATATATAATTAAATATATTGTTAACTTCAATATTTTTCAAGCATTTGTGTTAAGAGCGAGTGCAGCCAATTTGAAAGCAGTTTATTTTTTACCAATATATATACGTTATCTTTAAAACTATACTTTAGAGCAGTGAGCGTCCAAAAGTCCCAAACAGTAGCTGCAAGACGTTTTCTGACGAGTTTGAAACAACATTGTTTTTTGTAACTATTTACAATAAGATTACAATAAATACAAGTAACTTCGCCTTTTCGATACGAAAAATAAAGCAGGAGAAATCATAGCTCATTTGGTTTTAGAAATGGTTTCTGGTGAATACTTTGCCCGAATCTTGTTGTATGGCATAAAAAAAAGAGTGTTGGAAATTTTTTTTGAGTTCAAAACTAATGCAATTTTCATTCCTTCTTCCATAATAGAACGCAACATTACATCAGGAGGTGGAGCAGCTGAAACAGGAGAACATGGACTTGCGTGCGCGTCTATCCAAATTCCAGGATGTGTAATGAAAATGTGACGTAGGCAGACACCACAACTTGGCGACACCACAACAATTAAATAATTAAAATAAATAATACTAATGATAATAATAATAATTTTTAGTAAACAGACATGAAAGTACACTATAAATACAATACATACATATATATACGAGTATATATTAAAAAATAAAGCTAATATATATACATATATATAAACATATAGACATATATGTTATATGCATACAGTAAGCAACAAATACACACATGCAAGAGGAAGCAAAACCTTTGTAAGCCGCAGCGGCGAAAATACAAATACAAACGCAAACACAAACACACACACACACACACACATACATATAAATATAAATATATTTATTTTAAACTTAAAAGGTAAAGCTAAATGCAAATTAACTAAACATTTATATTACATTTTAGCGTAGCGAGCAAGAGAAAAACTAAGCTAACTAAATGGGCTAAATGTGTGTGTCACCCAGCACCCTCACTTAAAGGCTAAAAACTAAACAAAAAACTAAAGAAAAAAAAACAGAAAAAAATTGTTACTTCGGACTACGACTAATGTTCAACTAAACACTAGAAACGAAACTAACAGAACACTGAGGGTGGGGCCGCAGATCCCTCCCTCAGAAACCCTAAACTATTTAGGCCTTCAAGAAAAGAAAAAAAGAGAAAGAAAAAACCATAGCATACTTCTGTGCGCAGCCTTTTTCATTACTAAACTGAAGAAAAATGAGAAAATTGTTAATTTAGTTGATGATGGGCAGGAATGGAAAGGAAACCTCGATAACAAAATATTTTTGAATAGTTGTTAATTTTTACAAAGCATGTTTTGTTGTTAGTTTTTAGCAAATAGCGTACATAATATACTATATATACACACTACATATATATACAAAGTATATTTAACACTTCTTGATTGCTTTGGCTAATTGATTTGTTTTATTATTATTATTATTATTATGATTATTATTACGTATACAATTACGTTTAACGGTTCGATCATCTTGGAAACATTTTGCTTGGTTCTCGTTAAGTTTTGTTTAATTAGTGAATTTTTGCACACACACACACACACAAACACAAGCATATGTAAATAATTTTGTTGCCTCTTTCAGTAACTAAACAAAAAAGAAAACACAAAAAAAAGAAAACAAAAAAGCAAGAAGTTAGAAATGAGCAAAGAGAACTTCCCTCCTCAGTTGCCTGCCCCCGCTGCAGGCAGCTGTTAGTTTATTAAGCGAGCTATGATTTTTTATACACTATAAAAAAGAGAAAAGGAAATGGAAAGGAAAGGAAATGAGCTATTGGTTAACTAATAGTTTTTGTTATTTGTTGTTAGCTGAAGGAAGAGAAAACATTTGAGCAGCACCTACCGCTTTACTTAGTCAGCCCCCACAACTAACCTCCTCACATGTTTATTTTCACTCTGCCACTTTGAATTTTGTTTTTCAATCAATTAACTATTATTCGTACTATTATTATTATTATTTTTGTAATAACTATTACTTTTTATTTGGTGTGATTTGCAAGATCTTAAAGCGTAATGAAAACAATTTAACATAAATATACAATACAATTACAATTACCTATTATTATTATACGTTTTGTTTTAAGATTTCTTTTATATATTGTATAATTGTTACAAATTTTGAGTTACACTTACCTGCATAATTAGTTGTGTAAGCCAAACAACTACGCAAGCAAATTAAAAACATAAACATCAACAACACACACACACACACACACTTACACACAATTTTATACAAAACGACAGCAAACAATAATTTTAAAATGTTACTGCAAAGCAATTTTGGAAGATAGTTGAATCCTTACCTAAGTTTAAGCACCTCTTACAAATTTCGATAAGTTTTATTTATTATTTCTGACGCAAAAACATTTCAAAAAGCGATCGATTCAACAACAAAAATAACTACAACAACAACAACAATATTGATGATTATGATAACGACGATAGAGAGAAAGCCAACATTGTGTAATAATAAAAATCTAAGCGTTGCTTTAAATATTGAAAATTGTTTCCGACTATTTTTCTTCAACACTCCCCACCTCCCCCCCCCCTCACCTTATCCCCTCAACCCCCCCTATACATATGTATATCTACGAATAACTAAAGCACACTAAACTTAAACAAGGATCTCACTGCAGAAAAAGGAAAGAGAATGAAAACACACAACATTTGCAAATGCCATGGAAACTTAATACGAACCCGAAACTAACCCTAACGATAAAAACTGCATATACTCGTACTCGTATGAGAGATATACACACATACACACACATACATACACACATATGTATCTATAAAGTACTAGCAATATACTTAGATGTTACAAGGCCCTACATATTGGCGCGAACACCAAAGTAAATGTTCGCGCAAATCTAGCAAATAGTCGAAACTACTTCCAACTAAACGAAATTTATACGATTCCTCTCTCCTCGAAAAGTTGCCCACAAAACTCAGTTAGAAAGAGAACACACAAACAAACAAAAGAAAACAAAACTAAACAATATAAATTAAATGAAAAGAAAAGAGAAACCAAAAGAAACCTAAAGTAATTCTAACTTACCTAACCTAAAGCCTTTTGCACTGCTATGAGACCACCTAGAGAAAAAATGAAACAACCAAAATAAATTACAACATACTCGTACTCGTACTCGTATAGTAACAAACAAATGGAGAGCATCACTGGGATCGGATTGATTTCAGTCAATGTTTGAGCTTCGGTTGATTTGTAAATTGACGCAGACATACGATCAAGTACTATATAGTATATAGTACATATAATAGTAGACTTATCCCTAAAATAACAAACAAACAAACTAGTGAAATAATTGCGAGGCGCAGACGCAGATATGTAAAAATACGAATAAAACAAACCGTGTTATATTTATATATGAAAATATTTATGAGTAAGATAAAAAAAACCCCAAAAAAACTACAGACAAAAAACAAAAAATGCGCGTAGAGGTGAAATATTTGCGTGGAATGCGAATGCATGGCTTCTGGCTTGAAAGCGTATCCTTTAAGTTAGTTTGAACCGGCTTAGAAAGAGCTCCTCAGTTCCTTACCCTTATACTAGTTGTTATGGAAATAGTAGAGTCCTGCAGAAAGTTAAACTAATCTGATAGCAATATTAATCATTTTTCTTACTTCTTTGGCTTCTCCATTCAGAGCTTATAACATAAATCCCTACCTACACAACTGTGGAAGTACAGAATATATTCACTCTTCTGTTGCCACATTAAGCTTTGTTCTTTCACAAAAAATTATATAAAATATATACATGTAATGAATGAAAAACATTTAGATTCAGAAAGAGCAACGAAATGAATGTAGTGTCAAGGACAGAAATGATTTCAATTAATGTGCAATTTGTTTGCACAAAATACTTTTAATTTCTTTTTTTATCAATAAAATCTCAACCATCAGAATTCTATTCTAATCCTTTTCCTTTTCAAACAAGTTTATCCATAAATACTTGTAGTCTATAAATGAATGAATGCAACAATAATTTTCCATTTCTGCTTACTTCCTGCAGGACTCTAATATTTCTTTAGTACAATCCCTCGCTCTTCTCTGTAACAACAGCATTTTATTTTCCCAACATCTCACATAACTTAGGTTCATCATATAAAACATGATTAGTGGCTTTAAAATAGTATTTGATTTCGTGTAGTTTGTAGCTTAAAATAAATTTACATTTGTAGTATTTTTTCTAGAGAATTGTTGCTTTTAAACACATTTAAATAAATAACTGAAAACTTGATTAGCTGGAAAATTTTGTTAGAGAAATGCTGATTGTTTGCTATCATTTGATGAGTTGGAGTGATGAGATGTTGGCGTGTTTTGAGTTAAATCGTAGCACGCTTTTAGGCTGAACTGTTTAGCGGCCTCTGGCAGCCTAAAAGCTGGCTGCAAGCAAGCAGAAGAAAAAGCAGATAGAATGAGATATACAAGTATAATGAGGGAGAGAGAGATATTATACACACTTTTAATGCAACGAGATTGTTGTAAATTTTGAATTAGTTTAGTTGCGCTAAGCAGACAACAATATTATGTATGGATGAGTATGGATTCATATGTCTTATAAGAATGTTCCGTAACAAAAAGAAAAGTAGACTTTAGCAACAACAGAAGACGATAAAACTGAAAGTAAACCTTTTGTTAGTCAACATGAGAAGCAAACTAACGAAATTATTTCTAATATACAATATATACAAAACTAACAATACATAAATGAAATGGAAAACGTAATTTATTTATTATTATTATACAAAAACACGGCATGTTAGAAAAAACCAAACCTAGTTTAAAATAAAAATAAAAACCGAAACGCATGCAAAATTGAATAACTTTTTGTAGATAAATTCAATATTGTAGTTGACGATTTTTATATACAGAAACACAAACACACAAGTACTTACAGCAATGAGGCAGTGGCGCATCGCATGCAAGGGGTATATACCACAACTATATACTACCTATATATAAATATAGTAACTGAAGACACAAACGTTGCAGTGCTAGCTACAGAGGGAGCAGGCGTGTGAAGCTAAACATATTATACATATATAAATGATATTGTATACATATACAAGCATACTTATAAATATATTCTTATTATTAATGCAAAGAAACCGTTGTTGAATTTTAAAATCAATAAAAACAAATATATATATATAAATGTAGTGAATACCGAAAGGAAAAATGGAAAGAAAAAACGCGAAAAAAATTGTTAGTTGTTGCAAGGAAATAAGCTAAAAATAAACTCATAAAAATGGTAACTTAAATATGAAAAACTAAAAAAAAGTAAATTAAACAACAAAGCGTTTTAGAGCCTTTACTTATATTTTGAGAATTTTGCGATTGAAGCGAATGCAAATAATTTTATATAAGAGAACTAAACAAAGCATCAAGTTAAACGAAGCAAATGGCCTGCTAAGCGATACAAAAGTAAAAAGCAAAAGACAAAAACAAAAGCATAGAGCGCCTAAATCTTAATTTAGAACTAAACATTTGTAAAGCGTTTGTATTAGTAACAAAGAGAAAAATCGAAATAAACACAAACACACATACACACACATTTATAAAGCAAGCTTGCAAAGGTGCTGAGAGCAGAGCGCCTAAAATTGCGAAAATAAAACACAAACCTAAAAAAACGAAGAAATTTGAAGAAAAGCCTAAGTAAGGACACTAACATGTACCTAGATATATATACAAGAAAAAAAGTGAAAAAAAGGAAACCTAAAATACGATGGAAACTAAACACAAGTGCTCGACAAATGGCGCAAATGCTGCAGATATTAGTAATTTAGTTCTTAACTGACTCGTTTGTTATAGTTTTTTATATACCTATATGTGTATGTGTACGAAAGAAAGTTATGTTGTATAAATGCGTAAGAATTCCGTTCCTCACTATCATTTGACAGAGTTTCTCCTCTCAGTGTATTTGCATTATTTAATTAAGTTCAACCCGAAAACAAAAACAAACCAGTTTTGGCTTTGGTCTTTGAGCGTGAAAATTGTGAAAATTCTGTGAAATGCAAGAGATAAAATATAAACATAATGAGAAATACCAGTAAGGAATTTCATAAGATATTATGATACGATGATGAAAAAGCATAAGCGGGCATATGTTTTATTGAAACTGCAATAACAATAAAGGTTTAGATACAAATTTTGAAACGATAAATGCAAAAAAAACGAGTGTTTCAATTTTCCGCTGCATACTTTTGGGCATGCATGTTAAGCAGCAGCACCGCTGTTAATGCGATGTTAAAAAGTACACGTATTTAACATTTCTCAAATGCTCTGTTAAGCACATGTGTTTTGTGTCTGAATTTTCTTTAATTTATTTCTGATAGTTATGCCGCCATTTAAAATTAAAATGTATATGAAATTATTAACTAAAGGCAAGGCTAGGCTAGGCTAGGCTAGCAAATCGTCTCTGCAAATTCTTCGCTATGAATGTTAATCAGCACTGCTGTTAATCGAATGCTAAAAGGTGTTAAGCATTTATGGATTACTCTATAGAAGCCATGCTATTTTATTTAATTTCTTTCTTATACTTAAATCGCAATAGAATTTCCCTACGAGCATGTTCATTTTAGCCGTAGAAAACAAACAGCACCCTTAAGGCATCGCAACAGACTTAAATGTGTGTGCGAGAACCATCGCTTTGGCCTAAGGTATTCACAATATCTTCAGCTTGCGTGCTGGTTATTAATTTCAAAATTTAGCGAAATAGTTTAGTTTTTACCATTTTGAAGTCGTCGCAGTGAAATGTTGTTGTTCATGGCCAAAAAAGCCGTTGCCAAGCGATGGCCAATAAAGCATAACGAGCGTTATTCAAACAACCAGTCACACCACACCTGGCGCCGGGCGTTACGTGAATATCGTGTAAAGCTTTAACTAATTTCCTCGACTTCAGTTTCCGTTGATTAGCCAAGGCCCCAATAACAACACACAAACAACACCAAAAACAACATGATCGGTTTACTTCCTACGGCAATGCTAGCAAACCAACTTGGCCAGTGTGGAAAATGTTGCAACAAATGCGAGCA